CTCCATCTCTTTTTCTGTTTTTGTCTCGTAGAATGTTGTCTTCTTTTCATCTGCATAATAACTTGTCCTTGTTTTGCTCCTTGAACATACCAGCCTTATTCCTACCTTGGAGCTTGTGTAGTAGGTATGCATTCTGCCTGGATTGCGCTGCCCATGGGTTTTACGTTTTTCTGTGACTGGTTCCTTTTCATGCAAGTTGTACTTCATTTTTCTACCAAGAAGGCTTTCCTTTAAAGTGTCTATCCGCAAATTGATCACAGCCCCATGAATGAGAATGGAAAGAACCCGCCAAATAGGGCAAACAAACAGAGGCGAATAAGAGGTATACAATAGTAGTCTTTCAGTTATTCTTTTGTATTCAGCAGCAGAATATTTCTATTAGCACACTCTATAAATGGACTTCTCTTCCACCCTGTGGGTCATGATTCCACTTCAGCCTACAGGGTGGATTTCAAAGAAATATAGCTGTAGCTCACTTCCACAAGTGACACCTAGCCACCAGTAACTGTCACGGTCATTATGCATGTTCACAACACATTAGAACTTTGTGCGATATCCTATCCTCAAACTGTTGGAAGTGCTGGTCATTTACTTGCCATTCCAGTATTTATCTTATGTTTTACTCTTAGTACTTCTTTGCTATCATGAAAACTTTTTCTTAGTTCAATTGTTTTGAATCATTTAATTTTCTGAATATTGCTTAATCTTAATTTTTGTTCTAAAATTTATCTTTGACTTACAATTTATTTAAAAGACATTGTATGATATCTTCTCCTAGTATTAGAAACTTTAAAAAGTATATTTCCATTTTCTGTTGACTTAAAAAAAAGAGAGAGGTTTGTATCTATGTTATTTGCTTATTATTTCTTGCCTATATCTTGTAGTGTGAGAAACTACTTTGGCAATAACAACGCACAGTGTACTAGCCATTGTTACTCTCCTAAAATCTTGTTTTGAGATTTTGTACCACTGTTTTTATTTTTTTTTCTTTCTTTAAAATAAAAATAACTGATGTCAATTAAAAAAAAAAAGTGGCCATCCGTACACGGTCTCATATTCTGCTTTGTTTTCTTTAGTCTTTATTGTCATTATCTAAAAGTACTTTCTGTGTGTATACATCTGCTTGTCTTTTCTAAAATGTAAGCTCCATGAAGCAGGGACCTTTTCTCTTTTGTTCACTGCTGTATTACAAGCACCTAAAATCTTGCTCTGTTGTCCAGGCTGGTCTCCAACTCCTAGATTGAAGTGATCCCCCTGCCTGGCCTTTGAGGTAGTTGGGATTGCAAGTATGCTCCTCCTTACCAGTTTAGTTATGTTTTTGAGTTGAAAAGATGTGTTCTAGGTCTATATGTAGGTTTTTTTTTTTTTTCCGGTACTAGGGATTGAATATATGTAGGTATTACTAAAGTCATGTGGAACAACACATATAATTACCTTAATTTCACTGGTGATTTTTGTATTATTTTGTATTCACCACTTAGGTGAACTTGTCTATGTTAAAAGTATAAATTAGATATTGGAAATATCTAAAAATAGGTTAGCTTTAGAAGATCACTTTATCACTTTGTTCATATTTTTGAAGTAAATTTTATTGAAATTAGAATCCTTAGGAAATTAAATTGAAACATAAACTACTTCATTTTGTCTTTTCTTAATATAGTCAAGTGGATTATCGAGCAAAACTATGGGCTTGCAACTTTTGTTATCAAAGGAATCAGGTAACTATCCCGCCTCCATTTGAGATGTTTATTCTTTTTTTGAGGGGTGTTACTGGGGATTGAACTCAGGACCTTGTGCCTGCCAATCAGGTGCTTATGCTACTGGAGCTATATCCCAGCCATTTCAGATGTTAATATAATTATGTATTCTATATGACTATAATATTAGTCATATAGAATAATATATATTTAAAAATAAAGATAAAGTAATTATCATTCACAGTTAAATTTTCTTAATAATTTGATGATTAAGAAGTAATTATTTTCAGTTTAAAAATTTATTCCTCTTTTTGACAAATAATTTGTTTTATGTTTTTCTTTCTGTAGTTTCCACCTACTTATGCTGGGATATCTGAACTGAATCAGCCTGCTGAACTTTTACCTCAGTTTTCTAGCATTGAATATGTAGTTCTGGTAAGAACATAAGAACAAAAAAAAAAATTTTTTTTTTTTGTTTCCCTACACAGTTCAGACTTGTAGTGATCCTTCTGTTTTCAGTCTCCCCAGCAGCTGGGATTATAGGCATGTACCACTATGCCCAGACTCCATCACTGGCTCAGTGGGCCCTAGGGGTGGGTCTGGCACCGCATGTGGTACAGGGATTGAACCCCAGCCCCTGTGCTTGCCTAAGCAGGTGCTTAGTCCAAAGAACAAATGTTTAAGAAAGTTAAATATTTAGTCGATAGTTTATACCAAAATAATTGTTAAATTGAATTGATGGAGCAGTTCAAAAGGAACAAATGTTAGGCCAATTTAGTAATATAGATTCTGTGTTGTAGTTATTTGATGCTGGCCATACATTGGACAGGGTGGTGTGATTTCTACAATGAGTACATTGAGGAACAATGAAGTATCAATCTTGTTTTGTAATTGGAAGTTCTGTTTGCAAATAGCCTCTATATATTAGAGTCTGCCATGTATCCTCAAGTCTAACTAATGAAAATATTTTCCAGTATATGAATTGGGAACATTATTTTCTTCCCTCTCTGAGCAGCTGCGTATAGCTGTTTACATCTCTAAATGTGAAAATGCTGAAATTCTTCATAAATGTTGTAGAGAAAATAGAATTGTGGTTGACATGAGCCAGAAGCCATCCTGGCTAGTTTCTGAGTCTCTAAAAATCCAGCTAAAGTTGGATAAATTATCCAAAATTCTTTCTTTGTTTTTATACTTTATGATTGTCATCTTTTTTTTTTTTTTTTTTTTTTTTGTTTTTGTTTTTGTATTTTTGAGGTAAGTCCTCACCGTGCAGTTCAGGTGAGCCTTGAATTCACTCTGTAGCCCAGGCTGGCCTTGAAGTCTCAGTGGTCCTCTTGCCTCAGCTTCCTGAGTGCTGGGGTTATGGGCATGCACATCACACCTGACTCTGGACATCATATTTTTAAACATAATTTTATACTTATTGATATTATATCTTGAATATCTCTCCACAGTGGCACATATGCCTTGTTTCATTTCTGTAATGGCTCTATTAGAATTTCATCTTATGCATGTATTAGGATTCTGTTGTATGTGTTGTTTAATTAGTCTCTGACATTTAGATATTATGCTGCAGTGTTAGTACCTTTAACAACTTATTTTTCTTATTTCAAAAAAATTTTTTTTAAAAAGCGTGGCCCTCAGATGCCTTTGATATTCCTCTATGTGGTTGATACTTGCATGGAAGATGAAGATTTACAAGCCCTGAAAGAATCCATGCAGATGTCATTAAGTCTCTTACCACCTACAGCTTTGGTTGGACTGATTACTTTTGGGCGAATGGTACAGGTTCATGAACTTGGATGTGAAGGCATTTCCAAAAGTTACGTCTTCAGAGGAACAAAAGACCTGTCTGCCAAGCAACTGCAGGTAAATCTGGTAGTTTTTAACTATCTGTAGACATTACTTTATGTTTATAAGTGCCTTCTAGATGTGTGTTTCTAGAAAATAAAAGCATGAGTGATATACTCGCATTATAACAAAGGCTTTAAATTTGTCAATCTGTATTTTCTTCTATATGCCTTAAATTGGCATATATGACTGAAGACCCTGTACTTTAACTTTAAAGTGAAGCTAAAAGTATTTTATTGGATCTTGGAGGGCTTATAGAGAAGTCCTGCTGATGGCTAAGAGGGCGATCGTATAGTATATATTAGCTTTTGCTTCTTGACATCATATTTAGGAAATAAACACTTTTTTGTGTTTGGCAATGAGAAATATTTTGAAACATGAGACTTATTAATATATGAAAACCATATTTTTAATGATGTTTATCATTGGAGAAACATGGAAGACTTTTTTTTTTGTGGTACCGGGGATTGAACTCAGGACCTTGCGCTTGCCAGGCAAGTGCTTATTCTGCTGAGCTGTCTCCCTGGCCCTGTGGAAAACTTTTTCTTCCAGGACAAGGGAGACACTTGTAGCATAAAAGGATCATCTAGGAATGTTTTTTAAATAATTATTTTTAAGTTGGGTGTGGTGGCACACATCTGTAATGCCAGCACTGCTGAGGCAGGAGAAATGCTTTGTGTTTGAGGCCGGCCTGAAAATGAGACCCTGTCACAAAAATACCAGACCAAACCAAACTTTTAAAAAAAATTTTTTTTCCTGCAGAGACTTTAATAGTTGATAAGATAAGTAAATGACTGTGTATATTATGTATTGGCATTTGCTGACAGGACAGGGTTGTTCATATAAGCATTTTGAAGAGACTTTCTGTAATTTTCATCCAGCATCCAGTTGACAATTTTCACTGTAGAAAATGATCAATAGGTCTAGTGAAAAACTTATACTAGGAAATGGAAAAATTGGAGGCAACTGGGTAGCTCCAAAATGTCAAAGAAAAGATTTTAGAGGATGACTCTAATATGGACTAGGATAGTGGTGCTGTAATAAACAAGAACATTGTGGAAGGATTGGCAGGTTTGGATAGGGAGGATAATGAGTAGTAAATGAATAGAATATAAGATTTGAAGAAGTGGAGAAAGTTAAGTGTATTGTTTTAAGAGATTTGTTGTTGAAAATCAAAGAGTGTAGGAATTTGAGCTAGCACGTGTTAAGGATACTTATTTTAGGAGCAAAATTTGAGTGTGTTTTACACAGAAGGAAAAAGAGACTAAAGAGAGTGAGATGATTAAAGTTTTGGAAGACAGGATAAGTGTTCCTTAAAGAGCTGCCTCTTTGGAGAGCTGGGCGTGGTGGCACATGATTGTGCTCCCAGCACTTGGGAGGCTGAGGCAGGAGGATTGCCATGACTTCAGGGTAAACCTGGGCTACATAATGAGTTTAAGGCCAGCCTGAACTACATAGACCTCATTTCAAAAAACCAAGGAGAACATTCTAGACAGAGTCAACCAAGCCGAGGAGATGATTCAGTGGAATAAGCACTTGCGTGGCAAGTGCAGGGGCCTGAGTTCAATCCCTGGTTCCACAAAACAAAACAAAATACCCCAACTAAGCCAACAAAGCCAAAAAGTCAGGTGGGGTGAATATGTCCATCAAGCAAGGTAGTAAACAAAAAGGGAAAATAAAGGAATCAATAATAGAAAAAGAATGCAGAGATAGGAATAAGTCAGAAACTTTTAGTAATAACTTTCAATGTAACTAGCCTCAGCTCCCCAGGTAAAAGACACAGATTGGTGGACTGGATCAAGAAACAAAACTGAGTAATCTCCTTCATTCAAGAAACTCATGTAATTAGATAAATTTGTGGACTAAAGTCAAAGAATGGAAAATAATATTCTGTGAGCCAGGGCCTTGGAACTAAGCAGGGGTAGCAATTTTAATGTCAAGCTAAAAGATCACAGAAGGCAAAGAGGGTCATTACATGTTAGTTAAGAGAACAGTTCTGCAAGAGATAGCAATTAAATTAAATATATATGAACTGATTCTTTTTTAAAGAGAATAAAAATAGTAAAACCCAATAGAAATGATATAGAATTTCACTGAACAAAGTGATGAGTTCAGTAATGATTGTTATATTGCATATTGTCCTCACATTAGACTGAATGTAATATTGATGCAACTAACTTTATTAAGCAAATACTACTAGACATAAAGGATCAAATACATACACAATCACAATAAGGAACCATGGTACCCCACTTACACAAGTGACCCAAATGAACTTAACAGTTATCTATAGTGTGTTCTATCCTATAACAATATACATTCTTCTCAGCCTCACACAGAACTTTCTCCAAAATAGACCACATACTAATCTATAAAGCTTTCATAAATAAATACAATAGAATCAAAACCATTCCACATATACTATCAGATCATGGTGCCCTGAAACCGGAAATCATTCACAAAGGAAATAGCAGAAATTTTATAAACACCTAGATATTAAGTAGCACACTTCTGAAGTTAGTGGGTCTTAGAATAAACTAAACAATTCTTAGAATCAAACAATAATGCCAGTACAACATATTGAAGCTATAGGAGATACAATGAAAACAACTGAAAGAGAATTTATTGCTGTGAATGTGTAGGTGGGTAAAAGTGAGTGAGTTCAAATGAATAACATGACATACTTCCATGTACTTGAAAGATAAGAACTACTCAAATTGAACCTAATGGAAGAAAATCATAAAGATTACAATTGAAATTAATGAAATTGAGACTAAAAGGGTAATACAAAGAATCAGTGGATGGAAGAGCAGTTGTTTGAAAGAATAAGCAAATAGCATACACTTAGCCAAACTTACCAAAAGAAGGAAGGAAAAGACTGACACCCATGCAATTAGAAACGAAAAAAGCAAAATCATAATGGGTACTTTGAAATCCAGAAGATCATTAGTAACGCCTGTGAAAAATTATACTTCAACAAATTGGAGAATCTTGGAGAAGCAGACAGATTCCTAAACACATGTGACTTACCTGAGAAGACATAAAAACTGAACATTCTTGTAACAGATAATGAAATTGAGGCAGTTGTAGAAAAACTAAGCAAAGTGTTTGATGTGTTAGCTGCTGAATTCTACAACACCTTAAGGAAGGATATAATGCCAGTATTCCTCAAAATCTAATGAAATTGAAAGAAAAAGAACACTCCCAAAGTCATCCCTGAAAATGAGCATTATCCTGGTTCTAAAACCAGACAAGGACTCAACTAAAAGAAGAAAACTGCAGGCCAAAATCTCTAATAAAGTTAGATGCAGATGTCCTCAAAAAGATATTGGCAAATAGAATGCAACAAGTCATCAGTAAAGTCACACATCTTGATCAAATAGGCTTAATTCAAGGGATACAAGAATGGTTCCATATATGCAAATGAATTGTAATACACTGCATAAACAGAAGGACAAAAAGCACACGACTGTATCAATAGATGCAGAAAAACTTTTCACGGAGTCCAACATCTATTCATGTTAAGAACCCTGAAGAAAATATATAAAGAAGGAGCTTTTCTCAGTCTGGTAAAGGCCATTTATGACAAAACAGCAGTCAGTATCATTAAATGGGGAAAAGCTGAAAGCTTTATCTCAAAAATCAGGAACAACACAAGGCTGTACATCACTCCTGTTTAATATAGTAGTGAAAATATTAGCTATGTCAGACAGAAGAATGAATTAAAGGGAATAGGAAAGGAGGAAATAAAATTATAATTATTTGCATATGAGATGATCCTTTACATAGAAGATCCAAAATTTCTACCTAGAGCCCTAGAATCAGCAACAAAATTCAGCAACGTAGCAGGATACAAAATCACACAAAAATCAAAACATTCCTGTACACTAATAATGAACTTATTGAGAAAGAAATTAGGAATAACATTCCTAATAGCAATAAGAAAAAATACTTAGGAGTTAACCTAATCAAGGAAGTGAAAGAATTCTACAGTGTAAAATACTTTATCCTGAAAAAATTAAAGGGCACCTCAGAAAAATGGAAGGATATTCCCTGTTCCTGGAAGAGCAGAACTAGTATTCTCAAAATGGCCGTACTTCCAGAACTGATACACAGATTTAATGCTATGCAAAGCAAAATACCAACAGCATTCCTCATAGAACTATAGAGAAAACCATCCCAGAATAACAAAAGCAATTCAGAGTAACGAGCAAATGAGATGGCACTACAATCCAGATATTAAGTGATAATATAAGGCCACAGGGATAAAAACAGCATGGTTATTGCAGAAAACAAGACACTTAGATTAGTGGAACAGAAAAGAGAAGTAGAAACAACCCGAGGCACATTCAGCTGTCTGATCTTTGAAATAGGGAGCAAAAACATTTGCTGGAGGAAAGGTAGTCCTTTTAATAAAGAGTGCCAGGAAAACTGGCTAGCCACGTGTAGAAAGTGGAATCTGTATCTGTATCTTTCATCATGTTATAAAATAAGCATTGATCAAATATCTGAATTTTTTTTTTTAATGTCTGAATGTTACAACAGAAACAGTCTAAAAAAAGTCTGCTGGAGACAAAATAGGTAAAACATTTTGAAGCATAGGTGTAGGTAAGGATTTTCTGAATGGGACCCCAACTGCACAACAAATAACATTAAGAATTAACAAATGGAATCTTCTATTAAAAAATTTCTGCACAGTAAAGGAAACAACCAACAGACTGAAAATACAACCTACAGAATAGGAAAATAATTGCCCTGTACCAAATAATAAATAAATAAATAAATAAATAAATAACTAGCTATTCCTTCTACAGAGAACTAGAATATATAAACAAGTAAGAAAATAAAATCTCTAAATAAAATCAAACAGTGGGTAACTGAAACAAGTATATACTTCTCAGAAGTATAAATGGCCAATAAATACATGAAACAATGTTTAATGTTGCTGACCACTAGAGAAAGGAAGTTGAAACAACACTGAGATTCCATCTTACAATCAAGAAGTCAAATAACATGCT